GAGAGTCAAACTTTATTAACTTTGACCAAGTTTGTAGACAAAAACATATACATCTAGAACACCAAATACATATCATTAGATACATCACAAGATATATTTTTGTAATATATATATATATATATATATATATTTGGTATTGTATATATAAATATTTTCCTCTATAAACTTAGTCAAAGTTTGACTTTTTAGAAAATTTATATGCACTACATTATAGAACAGGGAGAGTATTTGTTTATGGTTGAGTACATGTATCCAGGGACAAAGCACTCTCTATGCTACTTGCAACTAAAAATAAAATAGTTACCATGCAAAAAAGCTACAAATAAAATCATCCACCAAGCCACTAGCACTGATCCACTGAACTGATGCAAAATCTCTGTTACTTTATTCTCCAAACACCAGCAGGCGAGCCTGTTCCTCACCAACCTGAACATTGTCAGGCGTGTGACCAATGATCACCTCCAAGTGCTCCCTTGTCTCCAGTCCCCCACGGTGGCGAGCCAAGAAGGCTACCTCCTTGAAAAAGCAGAATCTGAGGAGGGAGGTCATCAAAACCCCCCACAGTGGTCCACCAGAAGATTTCGAAACCCTTCACAATCTTCTCCATGGTGTAATCCTTGGGAGGCTCCTGGTATAGTGGAGAGTCGACGTAGAAGGAGGCTTCTAGGATGGCTGCAGGTGTGTCCCATCGCTCGATGGAGGAGGCGCCATGGACGTATCGATAGAGGGCGGGTTAGAGCCCAAAAGGCTGTGATGGTCGAGCATGGGTGAGGTGTGTCGCTCGATGGAGGAGGCTACTGATGCACAAAATCAGTATAGCACGAATTGGACAATAACATATGAGAATGTAGTAGTTTCATACTTGTGTATTCCGAATTTGTGAGAATGATATTATGGGGCTGGATAGGGGGGCATTGCCCCCCCCCCACACACACACACTTCACCACGCTATATTTATTCGGTATTCGTTATCCAAGGATAAAGCACTCGCTATGCTACTTGCAACTACAAATAAAATCATCCACCAAGCTTGACAACACTGATCCACTGATCTGATGCGAAATCGGCTGACATATCCTGATGCAAAATTTGCCTGATAGATCCACCTAACTGATGTGAAATCTCTGTTCCTCTGGTCTCCAGACACTAGCAGACGAGTATGTCTCTCGTCCACATGAACACTGCCAGACAGTGGCCGTCGATTACCTCCAACTGCGCCCTGTCTCTAGTGCCCCACGATGCAGTGGCGGAGCCAGGGGTCTTCCCTGGACTTCCATGGAATACCAAAGAATTGCTGATTCAGGGGTCTTCCCTACATATTTGTTGCCATATTGCTATTGTATTGCACAAATGAATACCAAGCAAGAAATTCCTGGCTCCGCCACTGCCACGACGACGACCCAAGAAGGCCGCCACCTTGAAGAAGCAGAACCCGAGTAGGGAGATCATCAAGATCCCCACAGTGGTCCACCAGAAGATCTCGAAACCCTTCACATCCTTCTCCATGGCATAACCCTTGGCGGGTTTTTTCGGATGTGGAGGCGGAGGGCTTGAGGAAGCTGCAGCAGGCTCGTGGCATTGGTGCAACTGTGGACGCGAAGAGCTCGATGTAGGAACAGCAGCAAGGTGCAACAGTGGAGGCTCGCGGCTGGGTGAGAGGGGGGGGGGCTCTATGTTCCCCTGTTCACGTGGCGCGAACGGTCGCTCGAAGTTGAGGTTGCAGAGAACGTGCGCTAAGATTTGTGCGCCCAAATCCAACAGCTCCAGGTCTGTTCGCTGGAAAAACGTTCCCATGAACGTCCGCGCAATAACATTTGTGATAATAGTTATATGGGCTGGGCCGAGCCGGGCTATCCGCGACCCTGCCCTCTTTCCCTCCCCGCCGCCGCCTCCTCTCCTCGCTCCGCCGCCGCCTCTCCAAACTGCTCGATGGACCAGACGCCGCAGCGCCGCCGCCGGAGACGCGCCGAGGTCGCCCCCTCCGATGGCGCTCCGGACGCGGCGGAGTACAGCCTCGACGAGCCGACCTTGGCGGAGAAGCTCGCGGCCATGAGCCCGCTCGCCGAGGCGGCAGGTGGCGCCGCCGGGGAGTCGCTGCCCGTGGTGCCCCCCAGCGCGGACTCCGTCCACGTCCTGCTCAGGCAGGCCCTGCAGGCCGACGACCGCGCCGCGCTGCTGGGCTGCCTGTACAACAGAGACGGCAAGGTATCTGAGCTTGTCTGGCCTCTCTGACTCCTCATCTGTGGCATGGTGCAATAGTATCTTGATAGCTGGTGGCATCATCGTCAGTGAAGCATAGGTTACAGTTTTGTTCATAGGATCCGAGTCTCGAGTTCGCCGCGCAAATTAGGAAGGGATGTTTGTGCAACTTGTCAGCCTCCCATGGCCAATCACTCCTGGCTTGGTCCAAAGTTCAGGAAGACAGCTAGTTTGAGTTTCTGCTCATTGAAATTCGAGCTGTGTGTTTGGTTGGTTGGGTTGTATATTATTGCACATGTGCAATGAGTTCCATGAGTGCTGACACGGGTTCATCGCGCAAATTAGGACGGAATGGTTGTACAACTCCCAATGGCCAATCACTCTTGGCTTAGTCACACATTTAGGAAGGCAGTCAGGTTTAGTTTCAGCTCGATGGAAACTGAGCGTGTTTTATTTTGGTTGTATTGTATGTTACCCATTTACAACGAATTCCACGAAGTTAAGACGGCAAAGTTATGACCAGAACCGCTAATACTGTCCCAACCCCAAAATGAAATTACCCCCAGCACCGCCACGGCCTTGGTTTGATTAGCCCGTTAATCTCCTTGTGACAACCTGCTCGTTATTAAGCAGCTGTTATGTACTACTATTGAAATTTGTGAAACTCTGAATATCAGTTGTTCTTTATTCAATTAGGTCATCAAATCTGATAGTTCCTAACTCAATGTGTTGTCTTACATGCAGGTTATCGTGAAGTCGGTATCACTCCTGACGCCAGCAGACGCTGTGAAGCTCCTCAAATCATTGGTATCGCTTATGCAATCTAGGTATGATAATGCTTCTAAGGTCCTCTTTCAATTTAGCACTAAAATGGCTGGGACGTTATGTTGCGTGTGTTCCGTGAACATGAAAGCTTCTAAATTCAGTTAAACTTTTGCGTTGACCGTTTGACTGGGTTAACATGAGCCACTGAAAGTCTCAAACATTGTTTCTGCTTGTGTACCCTCATATTTTGCATAGAGGTTTCATAACTGGTCTGCTTTTCGTTTTCGCCTTGGCAGGGGTTCAGTACTGGTTTGCTTGCTCCCATGGCTTCAAGCTCTGCTTAGCCGACACATGAGCAGCATAGTATCTCAGGATTCTTCTCTGCTGCTGCTCAACTCGCTTTATCAGGTGAGTATTTTGTTTCAAATTAACAGCCGTAGAGATGTACTAATATGAAGTACAATTAATAACAGTTCTTATTTCTGGACTGTAATGTTACTTGGTGCACGCATTTTCAGCTGATTGACGCAAGAACATCGACCTTCGCATCGTCGCTCAAACTGTCTACCTGCCTGGATTATCATTTCAGCGAGGTAGGTTCTCTCCTGTCTACCTGTATTGCAACCTCGTGCATGCATGTGTGTAATTCAAGCATGTATGTTCCAGATCTGCGATGATGAATCCGATGAAGAAGAGGGAGGCCCTCCGCTTATCTACGAGGACGTGGATTCTGATGAGGAAGATTCTGAAGATGATGATGCTATGGAAACCGAGGACAAGGGGACTGATGAGGAAGATTCCGAGGTCGACGACGCCATGGAGACAGAGAGAAAGGGGACTGACAAGGAAGAGTCTGAAGTTGATGATGAGTGAAAGAGATCACAGCATTTGAACTCTGATTTTCTAGTAACTGTACTGTAACTGATCGAGACACAGCTGCGTTTGCAGTTCTATTTTGTTGTGTCATAAACAAAAAAAAAATTGATCATGGGAAAAAATCCTCAAATTTGTGTTGGTTATCATATCAGGAATCAAGACTGCCATTCCAGCTAATCATATTTGCTTTGTGATAACAGATTCATCATCAGTCAGTTTAGATGGCATATACCAAACAAAAAATTTGATGAATTGATACCATAAACATATTGGGTAACAGAATAGGTATACCCACATCAACATTCATTCATAAACCAATTTGTAGAGTTGAACATTCATGAGGTACACAAATTCCATCAAGCATGCTACCAAAATATGTAAACGAGATGGCAGAAACAGCCTGCTGAATTCTAGCTAGATAAAAAAAAGAACAAGTATTTAACGAAAACCCAAGTAAAAAGGGAAAAGACTCCTGTTTCCTGAAACATAACAAGAGCACATCTTCAGCAATATACAGGACACAAACTCAGCCTCCTCTCCACACGTATATTTTTCACGAATGAACATTCTCCACCGGTATCACTTCCCAGAATCCAGAACGATCGAGTTTTCATACACATAAACCACTAGATCCTTTGGAGGTTTCGGGCCAAAAATTAGGAAGAAACATGCCCCTGTCCACATCGACGTGAACTCACGTTTGTGGCGGCATGTTTGCATAGAGGAATGTGTAGAAGAGTCCCACCTCGGGCATGCTTCGGATGGTCTGGATGTGCTTGTTCTTGCTTGGTTCCTCGAGCAGCATTGAGCTCAGTTGAGCCACTCTAGCCAAGAGCTTCGCCAAGGGCAATCCTGATGGAGGAAGCGCGGCTCCAACCTGTGCACGCAAGTCCTCTATCACCAAATCAGCTACCTTCCTCAATGACATGTCCATGATATTTCTGAAATCGTCGCTGCAAACACAGGGTGCCAATAGGATGATGTGAGATACTCATTGAGTTTCTTCCAAAGAAAAATGCAGATGCCAACAGAGTTAGACAATAGATGTGTTCTCGACGACAAACGTGGAAAATTACTATCCTGTAAGCAAATATCACAACTCGACTATAACAATCAAATATGTCTGTTCTTGTTTTGCATAGAGCTAACGGACTCAAATCGTGTCAACAACAGTTTAAGTTATAAGAAAATGAGATTATTCAATACATACCCAGACACTCTAAAAAACCCAACATTAATACCAGACTGTTTCTACTAATAAACTGGAACACAAATTTTGAATAAGGTCAGTTTCTTGCTGGTCATGGCGCCGTTTAGCAATTCAGATTCTTAATGATAACCATGGATTAACTATCATCTACAGTAAGCAAGTGCCACAACTCCACTATAACAATCAAACATGTTTATTTTCTCGTTTTGCAATAGAGGTAATGGCCTACAAAACATGTCAACAACAGTTTATGCTATAAGAAAAATGAGGTCATTCAATACAAAACCAGATACTAGCATGCACCAAATTTTATACCACACAGTTTTGCATTATCACTGGAGCACAAATTTTGAATGAAGGTTATCTTTTGCCGGTTAGGACTCAGAATTGCCTGTTATCAATTCAAATTATTCCCTCTGTTTTCCTTTGGTTCTCAAACAACATATTTAAATGGGTAGTAGCTAAATCAGTAAAAACAATAGCTCAAAACAACATAGCAGTCCCAGAGCTACAATACTAGCACCCAGCAATACGGAATGGTACAGCTGGCAACCAGCTATTTTTTGTTGTATCTGCTCCAGATATGAACATGATATAAATCAATCCCAAATCCCAAAATAGAGTACTGTTATTGATCCAGTAGTAACCTCTTCATAAGAACGATGCATCACGTATGAGTATGTTACTGACAATTTTTTTTTACTGCAGCACCACCTGGCATTAACATTTCCCCTTTTTTCATTTCATCAATATTAAAAAACTCAAACACACTAGTTGCTTATGTATGAAACGACATATGGTATATGGATTACAGTTCTTGAAAAGATAATTATTGAAAGAAAATGTAATGATGGGTAGCCATATGAAAGATCTAAGACAATAGACACATTGTGGAGCAAAGTACAGTATTACTAAACCCTGCATATATTATGAATTTACAATACATATTCTGCATTACCTTGCCAACACTATGCGTGTCTCAGTCATTAGTTGGTCAAGCTTTCCAACATCCATTAGAAGAGATGAGTCATCAAAGCCGCTGCTGGACACAGCCATCAACTGTGCATACCGATTGGCGCTTTCAGGTACAAGGAAATTTATCCATGAGTTGCCTTCACACATACTCATGAACTGCTCCGATATCTGTAACATCGTTTGTAATACTTGGTCCATGCTCATAGGGTCTTTCAGTTGCTTCCTGCACATTTTTTCCATGGTAGTATCAGTACGGGAAGCACACATGTTATAAAGTATGATGTAATTTAAGCTAAATGAGAAAGTATACACTTGGCAAAACATAACTGCTATAATAAAATAATTTCATCATGTAAAGGTGCAACAATAATCTAAAGGGTCCCTACTCTAAATGATAAAATAAGTATTCTCTTGATGAATCAGAACTCTGCCATAAAGGGATTTTTTCTTGTAAAAGTGCGACAATAATTTCCCTAGGGCCCTTTAAATTTTATTTGTCTCTGCTCATTGGATGCTGAACATGCTGTTGAATATGATAATTTACTGACATGTTGGTGACAGAATAATCATGCGGATAGGGGAAGAAATATTTACTCTTTCAAGATTTCTGTTGCAGCATGTTGCATTTGCCTGATCAATGCAGTGATACCATATGTTGCAAGGTAGTCAGCAGTTCCAAGAAAGTCCTTATGTCCATTCCCGCTAAAAGTATCAGATTCCGCCTACACAGAAGCGGGATATTTCAAAGTCAGGTAGCAGAGCATGGTCTCAAGGGAAGTCACAATTGTTTGTAGCATAATTCAATTATACAAGTGTCGCATGATAAATGATCAATACGAGAGAAAAAACAAAGAAAGCAGCGATAACTTAATGTATGTAGGGGAATCACTCACGAATAGAAGGGAGCGAAAATTACCTGCAATTGAGCACCATCTGTACCACGAGCAAAGTCCAAGTAGAGATGTCTGCCTAATATGGTGACCTGGACTCTAACATATAAGCTCAGCAATGTCATGGCCCACATTGAAGACACTGTCCTTGTGAAACCTAGGGGGTAGAGAAGAAGTAACAACAGTTAAATGACATGGACCAGCCTAATGTTTTGACATCACAGATGAGACGGAGAAGAAGAAAATAAACAGGCCATGAATGAGGATGAGATAAACCACAGAATCATCATACTCAGAATTTTGATCTTCTCCCAGGTCTCGTACTTGTCCTCTGGCGTCAGCTCTCCCTTCCCTTGCAGCAGCCTCTCGGTCAGGTGTGAAATATCCAGTTCCTCCATTACCCGCGAACGTAGGTAGTGCATAGCAAACGGCAGTGTGGTTGTATCCGAGATCCTCTGCACCTTCTGAAAATGGGCTTCCAACCTAACAGAGAGTAGCACAGAACGGTCATGAAGGAGTCTATGATACTACTACATGAATTTCAACATCTCACTAAATATGCAGCGCATCACGGAACTACTAGCCCATATAACCACGAAGACATAATAAACTCAATGGGCCAATTGTAGTTTGCTAGCGCTAACACGATATTGCCATAAGCAGTACATCGCAGGAAACCTATGAATCAATACATACATGCACATGAAACCTATGAATCAATTGTTGTTTGCCACCACTAAGACGGCATGGCTGCTGCTGTGGTCGCCAATTTAGAACATAGCCAGATACACACGTAAGCAAGAAAATGCAAGACAGAAAACAAATCTGGTGGTGGTTTGGATTTGTGGGCTCACTGATTCTTGATGATCTCGTCGGCGGCGCGCTCCTCCTCGGCGCGCTGCTCGACCCGGACGAGCTGCTTCTGGTGCGCGTCGTAGAAGCGGTAGGCCGCGTAGCCGGCGCCGGCGACGCCCAGCGAGAGGAGCATCTTCCACCGGTGCCGCGCCCAGAAGGCCTTCCCGGGGGCGGAGCCTAGCTGGAACATGGCGGCCAGGGCGGGGCGGGGACGGGAGGTGGGAGGCGACGCGGGCGAAACCCTAGCCGCTTGCCGCGCGGGAGGGACGGCGGCGCTCGGGTTCGCGGTCAGGCGGGCACGCGTTGGGGGTGGCAGGCGGGCTGGGGCGAGCGAGGAGGAGGGCGGCGACGGCTGCGGGGAAGAGGAAGAGGAGTTCGGGCGGCCGGGCGGCGGGTGGGAGGAGATCCGCGCGTGGTGGCGGAGACGGGGGTCCGACTCCGATCGGTGACGTCACCGGTGGGGGATAAGGGGCGGCTGGGGGAAATCGTTGGATGTACTAAAAATGGTTCGAATACAAATCAAACGTTTCAGTTTGTATCTCTATAAACGAATACGAACGCAAATTCGAAAACGTATTTTCGTTTGTTGTTTTGCATCAACGTCTAGATATTAATCAATCAAATGTGATTGAAATGTCACGGTAAAATATACACTTTATTCGAGCATCTGTATGTAAGGCTAGTAGTTACTAGCAGTTGCCGGCTTCGCCAGCTTGCTAGGGCTGGGGCACACATGCCTCCATGGGAATGGCTTCTCATGCATCCTTGTTCTCGCCAAAGTAGAAGCACTGTAGCATATCCCCCACTACCTTGCCTTCCACCGCATAGACGGCATCGGCATATACGCCGACGTCATCATCAATGAAGTCTGGGACGTGGCACACACGCCAGGCTCACCCTCCTTCCCGCCAAACCCTAACCATAACTTTCCTCCGGAGAATGGAGATCGTGCCCCAACTCGTGGTCGGCGACGTGGGCATGCCAACCCGCGCGCCACACGAGTGGTTCATGAGAGCATGGCTGATCGCGCGTTCCGCGCCTTTCAGTACCCGGGCTATGCCACCTTTGGTGATGCCATCGCCATGCTCAAGCTAGCTACCAAACCTAGAATCTGCAAATACGACACCTTCGCCATTCCCACCATCCAAGAAATAGCACATGAGGATGACGATCGTCTTTGCCTCGGGCCTGAGCTGATAGCTACCGAGGTTAGACGACCCCATGCTGAAGTGGCCTTTGATCCTGACACACTGAGCTTTACCTTCTCTGTCAAGCTGAGTAACTGTCGGACCACCTCAGGGGTCGTGATCGTTGGGCCGGCAAATGACCAGAGCCACTTCATCTGCTTCGACCTCACGGTTGGCACTATCGAGCACCACATCTGTCGGTCCATCTTGTTCAAGCTCTGGCCAAAAACCATCCCAGGAGAAATCTGTTCCCGCACCCTACCTCTGCTACCAACTATCGAGTGCAAACACCCACCAAAGCCGTTTGTCCTCGGCTCTTTTTGATTCCAGATGTCGGGCCTCTCTTGTCGTTGGCAGGCAAACCTCCTTTCCCAGCCACCAAGTCACCGCCGGCCCAGATTCGGGTACAGGCCCATCAAGTGCCCACTGCACGACCCATCTGCACACGACCCATCCGCCCTGTGCCTGGCCCCTTTGCCGGGCTACTCACGTCGGGCTTCCTTTCCCTTGTGGCCTGCACTGATATGCAGCACGGCACATGTGCTATCCTGCCTGTTGAGATAGCCACTAGATTCTGCTCCTGCATAGCACCACAGCCCGAGCCCTCCGCCGCCGACCGGAGGCAAGCCCCACCGACTCTACAGCTGCTACAGCCGACGGCTATCACCATCTCCGACGGCCTTTCTGTCGAGGAAGCGTCGCCGCAGCCGCCCACAGAGCAGCAGTTGCCCACCGAGCCGTCGGCCATGGGCGGGGGGCACCAGATGTGGCGGATCTGGCCCCGCACGCCTCGCCCCACCACAGCTCACGCATCTAGCAGCTGTATGACGGGGCGCGTGGACCCAGTCGAGCATGCATCCAAGCGCAAGGCCTCCGCCAGCCCCTCGGGGAGTGAGGCGAACTGTCGCTGCTCGACAGGCAAGAAGAAGGGCAAGAACCTAATGGCGGCTTCGATCGTCGAGCTGCCACTCCAGAGCACCCCAAGGCCGATCACAAGGGGCAAGGCCAAGCTGCTCGCACGTTGCTGCGATCTGAACTTAAGCGAGATCACAGCGGACGCAGGGCCATCCTCCTCTGCCTCATCCGAGTCCACCAGGTCTGCCCATGGTTAGACAGACTGTTGATTACTGGAGTTGCAAGGATTATTACCCCCCCCAATGTTTCCCTTTCCTTCTTGGTGTTCGTTTGCTCTAATAGCTTTGCATCCTAGTTTGTGGCCCGATGGGCATTATATCTGCATTGTACTACAAATTTCCCTTTTCTGCTGTTCTGCATGCCAAATCATGTACGCTCACAAGAGCCACTGCTTAATCAAATGTCAGTCATTAGCTTATCTTGTTGTTCATCTTCTTTTACCACCTAGAGCCACACATATACCTTAATGTGGATTGCTTGTTGGAACGTTAGAGGGCTTGGTGATAATGACAAATGTACGCTGGTCAAGGATGCACTCATGTCCAGTCGATCGAGTGTCCTCTGTCTACAGGAGTCTAAGTTGTAGGAGATTGACGCGATGAAGGCAGCCTCTTTCCTCCCCTCCAGCCATAAATCCTTTATTTATATGCCAACTTCTGGAACATCAGGAGGCTTGTTGGTTGCTTGGGAGGAGAGTGTTCTCAGTGCCACTGAGATTAGCACGCACAGGTTTTGCATCACTGCACATTTTCAGTCTAGAAGCAACAATGAGAGCTTCAGTCTGTCTACCGTTTATGCACCATGTCAGGAAGATGAACGGGTAGAGTTCTTTATAGTCATGGATCAAGTTGCAACGCTAGTGCATGGGCCCTGGATCATGCTTGGCGACTTCAACATGTATCGGTTTGCGCACGAAAAATCACAAGGAAGGAAGAACTGGGTGATGATGGACCTTTTTAATACATGTATCAGGGAAAACGCCCTTGACGATATAGAAGTGGCAAACAGATCTTTCACATGGTCGAATAAAAGAGTGCAACCAACTCTGGTAAAGCTGGATAGAGTGCTGGTAAACGTAGATTGGAACCTGGGTTTTCTGAACACCACAACATCTGCCCTGACAGCAACAACTTCAGGTCACATCCTAATATGTGTAGAATGCTCAACGGATACACCCAGGTGTTCTTTCTTCCGTTTTGAGAACCATTGGCTGCAACTTCCAGAAACTATAGACCTGATCAATGACAATTGGAGTAGGGGCACCAGGCCGTTCGCTAATGCAACTTCCCTTCGCAGTTACAAGCTAAGAAGAACCAGAGCAGCCATAAGGAAATGGGGGCACAGTCAAACACCTCTGCGTCTCACTTTGGAGAACTGTAAACATGTTGTTCAGTACATGGATGCCGTAGAAGAAAGAAGAAGCTTGTCCCACCTTGAATTTTCTTTGAGGAAGCATGCGAACGAGAAAGCACGGAAGCTGATTCTTTGGCAAGCAAGTATTTGGAGACGTCAGGCAAAGATAGGGGGTTGCACTCTCGGTGATGAGAACACGAAATTCTTCCATGCTGCAGCAAACTGCCACCATAGGAATAACAAGATCAAGCTGTTAACAAAGGACGGAGTGGAGTTCTTCGGGGAGCAGGACAAACTTGGGATAGCCACAGACTACTACACTGACATTTTTGGGAAGGACTCTCCTTGTTTGCCTACTGTTGATCTGTCCCGACTGTATGAGCGTTCTTCTCTTAACCCACTAGAGGAGCCTCTCACATGGGGTGAGTTGCGTTAGTAATCCAAAAAAGCCCCAACAATCGGAGTCCAGGACCAGATGAATACACTAATGAGTTCTATAAGCACTTCCAGGGAACATTGAAGGAGGACTTTATGCAATTCTTTCAAGACCTATATGAACACAGATCCCCGCTTTGCAATATCAACACTGCACACATCGTGTTGATCCCAAAAAAGGAAAATCCCACGGATATCAAAGATTTCAGGCCCATTTCCCTGGTTCATAGCATACCCAAGCTGGCTTCTAAGGTATTTGCTATGAGGCTTCAGTGAGAAATACCAAATCTGGTGCACCCACTACAGTCTGGCTTCCTCCTAGGCAGAAGCATCTTGAGAATTATGTGATGCAGCTGAGTTCGTATAGAAATCAAAGAAAAGGAAGAAGCCCATGTTTGTTTTGAAGCTAGATTTTCAGAAAGCCTTCAACAATGTCAGTTGGGAGGCCCTTCGGCAGATCCTTGCAGCAAGGGGATTCGGTAATCGATGGATCAGGTGGATCTATAACTTTCTGGAATCCAACTCCTCCAAGGTTATGATCAATGGACACCTTGGGAACAAAATCTTGTCCAAGAGTGGGCTGCGACAAGGCGATGCTATGTCTCCTTATCTGTTTATACTGGTGGCAGATGTTCTGTAGCAGCTTTGCAACCAAGACTATAGAGCTGGAAATCTCAAACACCCTCTTGGTGTGGCTGAGCTGTTCCCTGTCCTACAGTATGCGGACGACACGATCTTATTGATCCAGGGATATGTCCAATAGGTGTGAATGGTGAGGCAAATACTTGATGCTTTCTCTGGTTTCACGGGGCTAAAGATCAACTACCACAAAAGCACTCTTATACCGATCTGCATACCCCAAGAAACCTCCAACAGGCTGCGCAGATTCTTCAATGCCGGGTGGAGTCTTTCCCCTGCACTTACTTGGGATTACCCCTCTCACCCAACAAGATCACGCACAATCTGCTGATGCCCGTCATCCACAAAGTTGACAAGCATCTATCAGGTTGGCTTGCCACTTTCCTTTCCTGGGGAGGAAGGCTGACGCTCATCAACGCAATGCTGGAAACAATACCGAGCTTCTTCATGGGATGTTTTCATCTGGCCAAAGCAGTCACTTGAGCAGTTGGAGCAGATCATGAGAGGATTTCTTTGGCAAGGAAAGAACCGCGCTAAGGGGGGTCACTGTCTCGTTGCCTGGGACGTGGTTTCGATGCCAAAGGAAAACGGAGGACTTGGAGTACGCAACCTCAGGCCCATAACTTGGCGCTGGTCTGCAACCTCATGGCCAAGGTCCTAC